TTTTATTCTGAAATCATTAAAGGCGATTACAATTTCAGCACTTGCTATTCTGAAATTAGCACATTTAAAATTCATCACTATAATTATTTCATATATTCGTCATTTTTCACTAACTTTTTTGTAAATTGCTGGTAACAGGAACATACCATTTTCCTTTTTTTCTCTCGTAAATTTTCAATCTACTTTTTCCCAGTTTACATTGCTGATATATTATATATATCAGATATATTATATATATATAATATATTGATATATTATGTTTTTATATCATTTCGATAGTAAATATTGACCCCAATTAACCTGCCCAATTCCATGAGGGAATTACGTCTCGTGACGTCATATTACGAATCACTGGTTGACCTCTTGACCTCTTCCTCCCCCCCCCCCCTTTGTCTGATAGTGTAGTTTAGTAAGTGTCTGAGTGTTTAGATGCCTCGTTAAGTGTCTCGCTCTTCCTCTCACGAGAAATATTTCTCCGGATTAGTCTGTGTAGTAGATCCTAGTCGTCTGTCAACCGAATCCGTTCAGTGTTCGCACTAATATTTGTAAGTGTACTTTTTTAGTATCTCTAAGGTCCTACTTGGCTTTAGATTAAGATAATTATAGTCGGTAACGTGTGATGTGAGGGGGTGTGAAGCACCTTTAGTTTCAGTAGTGAGTACCTCGTTAGGTGAGACTCACGACCGGTTAGCGAAGTGTAATTCGTCGTTAATTGGTAGTTACAGTCGAGTGCACATGGTTGTAATCAAGCAGCTCTGTGGAGCCATGCCAACACCCCCCCCCCCCTGCATGCTGCGCCCCATCACCCCCACCCCCCATCCCTCAGAGTACCGGCACTCACCCCCAACATTATAAGGACTATGCACAATCGTTCTCGTTACAGCATGAAGATGATGCTCCTCTTTCATCATATTCTGAGTAATGTTTACCTGCTCCAAGATACTCCTGTGGTATTTTGGTGCCCAACTTCGACTCTTGTTCCTCTTAAGTGCATCATGCCGAGTGAATGAATTGGGTATCATTGAAGATGCTGTCTGAATGGAATCTTGCAATTTGTTTTCTAACATGTGAAGAAGAGCTTCACATTTGAGATGTGAAATGTGGGTTGGAAGACACTATGGTCTGTGTTTACCAATATGCTATGAGTTCATCCCCTTTGTTTACAAACATGATAATACATATTGTGGTTCGTTTTTTACAAACTTCTCCCATTTTCCCCCATTTTCCCCCATTCTCCCCCCACTTATGTTGAACTCCACCTTGGCAATTTAAAGCAGTTTCCCTTACCATTAATGGCATTGTTCTAGCCCCCTCCTCCCCTTCTTTCCCATCTCTGTTCCGGATGGGAAGTAATATTTAACTTCCCATCTTTCCACTACCCTCCCAGAACACCCCCCCCCCGATCCCATTTCCTTGTGAGAAGGTGATTGGGTAGTTAATGCTTGTTCAGTGTAGTGCTGATTTTCGTCTGTGCATGCCGTATGGGTTAGTATATATATATATATATATATATATATATATATATATATATATATATATATATATATATATATATATATATATATATATATATATTTATGGGTTTTTTTTAACCTTGCATGGCGTCTAATTATTTTGTGCATGGCATCTTACGAGGTTGACCTCAATGACCTGACCTTTCTGCAGGAATATATAACTCAAAACGGTTATCATAAACTGACCTTTTGGCTGACCTGTATGGTACGAGTACAGTGTCCTGAATCTACACTGAGTGACTGGTCAGCTGTATGCCCCGGCAGCTCTATACAGTGACTTGTTGTATTGTTATAGTGACTTGATGTATTTTACAGTGTAGTGGAGATTAAGACTCGGTATAGAGTATGCTGATCTCAGTACAGTGAACAGTAACGGTGTATTGTGCACACTTACTATGAGAAACATTTGAGTCTGAAGTGAGTCACTACGGTGTAAAGTGAGATAGTGAACAGCACCGTCACTCACAATACTGAGCCCAGCAAGTCACCAATATGTAAATTGAACTGGTGACTCACTGAGAATCGTCACTATATTCATCATCTCATCACAGTCTACAATGAATGTTCATCTGTGATGTGTTGTCATCACTTAATCATTCTCGTCACTATTAATGTATGATGAAGGTCATCATCATCATCATCATCGTATTATGTAACTCATTGTAAAACATTTACGAATTTTTCTGCTTTTTTTTTTTTTTTGTTCGTCACCTCACTTTCTCTCTCACTTTCATCCTCATTCTCTCCCTCATGTTTGTTTTCTCATTCTTTCGTCTCACTTTCACTCACTTTCACATTGTTTCCTTCACATGTTAATTTTTCACTACGTGACTTCACTTAAATAATTACTGCTTCACTTCACCGTCACTTTCACTGCTTCATATTCTCTTCACTGTCACTACCTCATATCACCGTCACTTTCACCACCTACTTCCGCCATGTACAATTGTATCACTCGTGTATCACATACATGTATCATGTTTTTACCCTCATGTATCAGTGAGAACATCAGTAGGGAGCCGTGGGGGAGATTCGAACATTGGCGTGTGCATTTTTCCCTCATTTCCTACTCCCGCCCCATGGTAAATACGACCATTACTTCACTAATTACTAGTGCAATGATTTAGACTACAATCTAATTACCTCCCAATGCGTCATTTTTTAAATGAATTCTTCCGCCCCCAGAAAAATACCTGAATGTTGTTCGGTTTAAATATATTTTTTTGCGTCCGTCTGTTTGCTTCAAGCGGCAATAAATGTCTTAGAAGTGGGCAACCTCGTTCATCTTGAGCATTGAGAGAGAAGACAGTATTGCCATTGTGTACAAATCCACAAGGGCCGTGACGAGGATTCGAACCTGCGTCCGAGAGCATCCATTGTGTTTCTTGAACGTCGGGTCCACGGGTTTTTTTCTTCCCCTCGGTTGAGTTTGAAGAAAATTCTTCCAACTGGACTCTAAGTTTTTTTTCTTTCCTGGGATGGAAACCATGTTTGTGATTGGCCAATCTCGCGGGACCAGTTATCGTCCGTCAGGCAGCACCGGTGCGTCAAGGAATTGGGTATACTGATTATACCTTTTCTTATACATATGCAAATCATTTGTCTCCTTGAAATAGATTTGGAAAATTAACGTCTTTTGGGCCGACGAGAAATAAAAGTTATAAACATCTTTTAAAATTAGTTTATTGGTTTATTTATAGTTTTTTTTCTTAGTAAAAAACCTCTCGTTCGATCACCAGAACTGTTTTTGTTGTCACCAAGCATGGCATTAATTCGCAAGCCCAATCGTTTCCGTTAATATACCTGAATAGTTATGTTGGTCATGTGATCAGTTAGCATTTTTTTTTACAATAATTATTCCCTAGTTACGAACCTCCTGCCATTACTATCACTGCTACCATTACCATCACTGCTACCATTACTATCACTGCTACCATTACTATCACTGCTACCATTACCATCACTGCTACCATTACTATCACTGCTACCATTACCATCACTGCTACCATTACTATCACTGCTACCATTACCATCACTGCTACCATTACTATCACTGCTACCATTACTATCACTGCTACCATTACTATCACTGCTACCATTACTATCACTGCTACCATTACCATCACTGCTACCATTACTATCACTGCTACCATTACTATCACTGCTACCATTACTATCACTGCTACCATTACCATCACTGCTACCATTACTATCACTGCTACCATTACTATCACTGCTACCATTACTATCACTGCTACCATTACCATCACTGCTACCATTACTATCACTGCTACCATTACTATCACTGCTACCATTACCATCACTGCTACCATTACTATCACTGCTACCATTACCATCACTGCTACCATTACTATCACTGCTACCATTACCATCACTGCTACCATTACCATCACTGCTAACATTACTATCACTGCTACCATTACCATCACTGCTACCATTACCATCACTGCTACCATTACTATCACTGCTACCATTACCATCACTGCTACCATTACCATCACTGCTACCATTACTATCACTGCTACCATTACTATCACTGCTACCATTACCATCACTGCTACCATTACCATCACTGCTACCATTACCATCACTGCTACCATTACTATCACTGCTACCATTACTATCACTGCTACCATTACTATCACTGCTACCATTACCATCACTGCTACCATTACCATCACTGCTACATTACCATCACTGCTACCATTACCATCACTGCTACCATTACCATCACTGCTACCATTACCTATCACTGCTACCATTACTATCACTGCTACCATTACCATCACTGCTACCATTACTATCACTGCTACCATTACTATCACTGCTACCATTACCATCACTGCTAACATTACTATCACTGCTACCATTACCATCACTGCTACCATTACCATCACTGCTACCATTACTATCACTGCTACCATTACCATCACTGCTACCATTACTATCACTGCTACCATTACCATCACTGCTACCATTACTATCACTGCTACCATTACCATCACTGCTACCATTACCATCACTGCTAACATTACTATCACTGCTACCATTACCATCACTGCTACCATTACCATCACTGCTACCATTACTATCACTGCTACCATTACTATCACTGCTACCATTCTCGTTATGACCTCCATTATAATGGTCGTATTTCTCTTCATCATCTTTATTCTTATCTGGTTCTTGGTCAGTTTGTCTCCCTTTCATTGTCTCTTCTTATCTCTCTCTCTCTCTCTCTCTCTCTCTCTCTCTCTCTCTCTCTCTCTCTCTCTCTCTCTCTCTCTCTCTCTCTCTCTCTCTCACACTCTCTCCATTATCTCTGTTTCCCATCTTCCTTCTCTCTCCCCCTCCCTCCCTCTCTCCCCCACACCACAACGATGTAACTAATTCAAGTCTCTCATCTCTCTCTCCCTCCCTGCCCCTCTCTCTCTCTCACTCCACTCCTCCCTTGACGGAGGGCAGACGATGGCGGCGACGAAGAGGAATGCTGGGCTGACGTCTGCTGTGCCGAGGGCGTCACTCAATGATGAGGAACTGGTGAGTACTCGCTCTGCGCCTCTAAGGGGCTCTGGGTAGCGAGCTCGGATCTGCTGCTGGTTCAGGGTCATTCACCTGACGCGCGAAGGGTTGGACTGGTGGGTGTGTGTGTGTGGGTGTGTGTGTGTGTGTGTGTGTGGGTGTGTGTGTGGGTGTGGGTGTGGGTGTGTGTGTGTGTGTGTGTGTGTGTATTGTGATATAATCTTTGTACCTATACCAGTTCTTTCTTTTTTTGAGTCAAGTGACATTATTATTAATTATCTTCTCAATATAAGTTACCATCACTGGTAATATATACGCCAGGACAGGTATTTGTCAGGTATTTACCCTTACGAAACCTCTGCATCTTCACTCGATCATGGAGACTTTGTTTACTCTATTTTCACTAAACAATTTACCAAACTTCTAAACTACACATGCTAAGATGATCATGTTTATAAACAAACCTCTTAGTATTTTGTACCTCAGAAACGTTGAACGTAAACAATATTAACGAAAGATGTACAGGTTTCGTAAAGTGTTTGGGGTAAATGCTTGTAAAAACCTGTCCTCACCTGTAAATAATTATCAGGTAAATCACTGCTTGTCTCTTATAACCATTAAAATCATATATAAAAGAAGTTAGCCTCCTCCCCCTATATATATATATATATATATATATATATATATATATATATATATATATATATATATATATATATATATATATATATATATATATACACTCAGAGGTTGTCTTGTGTGTATGTGAGAGATTCTCAAGTACAGTATTGTTTGGTATACTATTTTCTCGTAGCTTCCCATCTCTCCCCCCACACCCAATCTCATTGTAAATACACACAGTATGATAGCAGTTTGGTTCTGTTTGTGCTATCTTACCTGTAGCTTGCAGGAACTCAGAGGACCCCCACGTCACTCCCTATGGCACATGCGCACTTGCCTCTTACGCCACTGGCACATGCGCACTTGCCTCTTACGCCACTGGCACATGCGCACTTGCCTCTTACGCCACTGGCACATGCGCACTTGCCTCTTACGCCACTGGCACATGCGCACTTGCCTCTTACGCCACTGGCACATGCGCACTTGCCTCTTACGCCACTGGCACATGCGCACTTGCGTCACTCCCTTGCGTAACCGCAAGTGACCCCGTTACTTATGCAGGCGGCCTCTTAATGCCTCGCTTTTTGAAATTTGTTTAATTTAAGCTTGCAGCTTTTTCCTCTTCTGTCCTTTCTTCCTTTCTCCCAGATATTCCCAGCCTTGTGAACAACCTAAACTTACTTTCAGCGGTTCTGACTCCTGTGAAGCAGTGGTTCATAGTCCTGTGAAGCAGTGGTTCATAGTCCTGTGAAGCAGTGGTTCATACTCCTGTGACGCAGTGGTTCATAGTCCTGTGAAGCAGTGGTTCAGACTCCTGTGACGCAGTGGTTCATAGTCCTGTGAAGCAGTGGTTCATAGTCCTGTGAAGCAGTGGTTCTGACTCTTGTGACGCAGTGGTTCATAGTCCTGTGAAGCAGTGGTTCATAGTCCTGTGAAGCAGCGGTTCATACTCCTGTGAAGCAGTGGTTCAGACTCCTGTGAAGCAGTGGTTCATAGTCCTGTGAAGCAGTGGTTCATACTCCTGTGAAGCAGTGGTTCATAGTCCTGTGAAGCAGTGGTTCATAGTCCTGTGAAGCAGTGGTTCAGACTCCTGTGACGCAGTGGTTCATAGTCCTGTGACGCAGTGGTTCATAGTCCTGTGAAGCAGTGGTTCATAGTCCTGTGAAGCAGTGGTTCATACTCCTGTGAAGCAGTGGTTCATAGTCCTGTGAAGCAGTGGTTCATAGTCCTGTGAAGCAGTGGTTCATAGTCCTGTGAAGCAGTGGTTCATAGTCCTGTGAAGCAGTGGTTCATAGTCCTGTGAAGCAGTGGTTCATAGTCCTGTGAAGCAGTGGTTCATACTCCTGTGAAGCAGTGGTTCAGACTCCTGTGAAGCAGTGGTTCATACTCCTGTGAAGCAGTGGTTCAGACTCCTGTGAAGCAGTGGTTCATACTCCTGTCAAGCAGCGGTTCAGACTCCTGTGAAGCAGTGGTTCAGACTCCTGTGAAGCAGTGGTTCATACTCCTGTCAAGCAGCGGTTCAGACTCCTGTGAAGCAGTGGTTCTATCTCATGTAAAACAGTGGTTCTAACGTCTTATGATGAAGGGGTTCTTAACCTTCGAAGCGTGGTTGTGGCGGCTGTGAATCAGTGATTCATTCTTCTGTCAAGCAGTTCTGTCTCCTGTGAATGAGGTTCGAACCTGTGAAGCAGGGGTTCTACCTCTTGTGAAGCACTGGATTCCAACATTCTGCCCAGTAACCCAGCGTTTGGGTACCGGTTATCGTTGGGTTCAACCCTAGATTAGGTGTTTTGATGCCTACCCATGTCGAACCCCAAGGCTCATAACTCCAGCTTTCGTCTCCGAAGGGGTATATCTAGAGTATATTCCTGTAGTTTGGGTCTGGGAGTTATACTCCATAAGCCTGGCCGGGGACTAGTGGCCAGATTCACGAAGCAGTTACGCAAGCACTTACGAACCTGTACATCTTTTCTCAATCTTTGGCGGCTTTGTTTACAATTATTAAACAGTTAATGAGCTCCGAAGCACCAGGAGGCTGTTTATAACAATAACAACAGTTGATTGGCAAGTTTTCATGCTTGTAAACTGTTAAATAAATGTAACCAAAGCCGTCAAAGATTGAGGAAAGATGTACACGTTCGTAAGTGCCTGCGTAACTGCTTCGTGAATCTGACCCCCAGACTTGTAATAGCTTGATCTAGAATTGTTTTTCCTTGGAGTAGGCCGACATATTCCTTACAACATACTTGTTTCATTATTGTGGCATTACCTGTTAAACACATTAATAATTATAGTACGAGTGTCATAGGCCTAGGTAAGGTTGTTGTTGTTGTTGAGTTAGGGGCGACGACGATCGTGGGATCGGATGCGCCCCGGCGTACCCGTGAAGGGTGAATCGCAAAGCCAGGAAAGGCGAAATGCTAAGCCAAAACGCGAAACGAGTGACGCCAAGCACTAGAAACTAATATGCCACACGGCAAAGCTACGCACAAAGGGAGAGGCAGAAGCACATAACAGAACAGGGCAAACAAACAGCCAGAAGGGCACACAGCATGTCAGAGCAAATACACAGGAAATCAGAGCACATACTTGCCCGGGAACTTGGCCCGCGGGAATCTTACATTGAACGCCTCCCAGAGCACCCATTGCCAAGGGTCTCGTCCATCCACCGGGGACGCCATAACATCCGGAACCGGGGCAACAAACGCCCGCAAACTGGGGACCCAGATGGTAGTACTCATGAGGCGAGAAGTCGCCACTCGCCCCCACAGGAAGGGAACTTGCCCCCCACGAAAGCACTCCGGTCCGTCAGACAGCAGCAACCCGGCAATCTTCGACCAGTGACCCGGTGGCATCACAGACGCCGGCAACACGTCCCCCAGGGCCCCAACGCGCACCCGCACCACAGGGGTACCCGCGGCCCCGGGCACACCACCAGATGACAGCAGGGAACCCGGACGGCGCGCATCCTTCCGTAACGTCACCACCAGGCCACGCCCAGCACCAGCGTCCACACCATCCCTGGCAGCGGAAGCCACCACCCCCCACTGTGGAGAGTCCCCCGGCGGAGAGAGAACCGAAGGCACGTCCGAGACACAGGCACCAGCACCGGCAGGCACATGGACCTCCGCCACCACGAACCGCGGAGACATCGACGCATCCGTATCCACACTGTCAACACCCGAAGCCCCACAGTCACTGAAGTCACCAACGTCGGCCCAGGAAGAAGACGAACGCCGGGAACGTTTGGGCACCGGCCGGATATCGTCCGAGCCGGTAAGTGACCCAGAAACACGGGTACCACGAGCCGGAGGAACCGACGCCAGGACGGCAGCAGCCTCAACCACAGGGGGAACCGGGCCACACACAGCAGGAGGCTCCGCAGCCACCCCAGCACCAAGCACATCCGGGACCCGAGTCACGGACACAGGGCCAGGCGCAGCATCAGAAGACGAGGGAGAAGACAGTGACGTCACACAGGGAGCTCCAGGGAGGGCCACGGGAGCAGCTGGGACAGCGACAGGATCAGGCAGACCAACCGACGGTACCTCAAGAACCGGAGGAGGGACGGCAACAACCGGAGGAGGGACGGCAACAACCGGAGGAGGGACGGCAACAACCGGAGGAGGGACGGCAACAACCGGAGGAGGGACGGCAACAACCGGAGGAACGGCAGGCGCCGCCGGGGAAGCTGCAGCAGCGAACGGGACGCTCACCTCCTCACCCCCGGAGTCCTCCTCCAGAGGGAGCGGCGGGAAATCCTCCTCACGGAACAAGTTCACAGGAGCGACCGGATCAGCAGTACACCCGGCAGCCTGATGCCCCAACAAGCCACACCGGAAGCAAGTACGGGGTTGCCGGGCATAAAACACACGCACGTAGTACCCCAACAGCCGGACAGAGCACGGTATGTCCGACCTCAGTCGCATCCCGAGGGTCCGTATGTGAGTCTTCACACCCGAATACGTGCCAGACGACAGTGAGTTCATCCGCACACTGACGACGGAGCCGTACCTCTGGAAGAACCGCCGGAGGAGAGTCTCAGGAAACTCCATGGGGGCGCCATGAACACTGACATACGTCACAGCACCACTACGGTCTGAAATGGTCACAGACCCGGTGCCGTCCTGTAACTGCAAAGTACGTCCCTCGTACCTCCGTAATAAAGCACGGTACACCGCCTCACCCACAAACTTGACAACAACACGGTGAGCAGTTACCAGCTCAATGCCATATACGTCCCCAACCGGGACACGAAGCATGTCACTCAACACCACGTCCACCAGCGGGTAACCAGCACGGCCAGTAAACTCCAATCCGATGGAGTTTAACCGCACGACAGCGGGAATAGGGCCGCCCATCGCAAAACACGCCACGTCTCCACCACCAGGTAAACACCCCCAACGATTCTCGTTATGACCTCCATTATAATGGTCATATATCTCTTCTTCATCTTTATTCTTATCTGGTTCTTGGTCAGTTTGTTTACCCCCACACCCCCTTGGTCAGGGGGTGTGGGGGTAAACACCCCCACACCCCCTGCCGGCGAAAACGGCAACGATCACAAACTGCCGGAGCGGACAAGCGACACGTCCTCACTCAACGCCAGCGCAGGTGGAACTCCTAGGTAAGGTTAAGGTACACATTAAAATCACCGGAACGTTACGTACCTATGAGAAAAATAGCACGTGCTCCCGTGCACACCTCAGGCGCACGCGTATTACCGACTGAACCATGATGTGTCAAACAGGATCACAAGGAAGAGTAGATGCTTCATGACTGGCCTGGAGTTCGTAAGGCACCAGGTTATCCCGAGAGGATTTTGGGGCTCAGCGTCCCCGCGGCCCGGTCCTCGACCAGGCCTCCACCGCCAGGAAGCAGCCCGTAGCAGCTGTGTAACTCCCAGGTACCTGTTTACTGCTAGGTAACAGGGGCATCAGGGTGAAAGAAACTCTGCCCATTTTGTTTCCGCCTCCACCGGGGATCGAACCCGGAATCTCAGGGCTACGAATCCGAAGCGCTGTCCACTCAGCTGTCAGGCCCCCATTTTAATAACTAACCTGTTATTTTTGTATTAAAGTAAGTTTGTTAAGTGTTCTGGTGTTCTGAGAAGTGAGCTTTGAACACAGAGAATCAGCGAAGTACTTATTGAGAAAGCTTTAGAATGTTTAACCAGTTGAGAAATGAATAAAGTTGTGAACAAAGCATTTCATTCAGTAATTATGGCGGTAGCTATAATTACTGAATGAAAGGGTTCATTAATTTATTTTATATCCAAACAATGGATATGCATTTATCTATATCAAACCAATTAATGTGCATTTAGCTAATTTATTTTTTTAAGTTTTCTTGATGTAAGAGTTTTGAGATTTGACCTGATACTGGTTTACATGTAATAGTTGATTGGTGTGAATCACTTCAATACTGACAGCTCTTTAAACCAGCGCAAATTAATTGCTAGTCAGACGGGAATTAAGCTGTTTCGTATTTAAGTTCCTTTAGCAAGCTTATGGTTATTCAGTAATCCTTTTGTAGTTCATTTATTTACTAGATAACATTATCGTTATAGGGAGCCGAGCGGACAGCACGCTGGACTTGTGATCCTGTGGTCCTGGGTTCGATCCCAGGCGCCGGCGAGAAACAATGGGCAGAGTTTCTTTCACCCTATGCCCCCTGTTACCTAGCAGTAAAATAGGTACCTGGGTGATAGTCAGCTGTCACGGGCTGCTTCCTGGGGGTGGAGGCCTGGTCGAGGACCGGGCCGCGGGGACACTAAAAAGCCCCGAAATCATCTCAAGATAACCTCAAGAACCGTAGGCTGTTGAACTGCGTCATGTACCAATTTAGAGGCATGGTACTCTAATTGCCAATTCGCTTGATAATCTTTGTAATAAGTGAAGCACAGAGACTCGGCCTCCAGCTAACAAAAACCATCAAACCAGCTTCATAACTGGTCCCTCGTCCTGTAATTGGGCAAGAGTTTGTCGTTTAATGAACGACTGAGCCAGTCGTTAACTAGCTTGTGAAAGACTTTAATACCCATATCACCGCTCGACCAGAAAGTTAGGCGAAACAAGGGCTTCACTCCACCTGCAGGCTGCACACCTACCATTTATACACACCTGCAGGATGCACACCTGCCATTTACACACCTGCAGGCTGCACACTTACCATTTACACACCTGCAGCCTGCACACTTACCATTTACACACCTGCAGACTGCATATCTGCCATTTACACACCTGCAGGCTGCACATTTACCATTTACACACCTGCAGGCTGCACACCTACCATTTGCACACCTGCCATTTACACACCTGCAGGCTGCATACCTACCATTTACACATCTGCAGGCTGCATATCTACCATTTACACACCTGCAGGCTGCACATTTACCATTTACACACCTGCAGGCTGCACACCTACCATTTGCACACCTGCCATTTACACACCTACCATTTACACACCTGCAGGCTGCACACTTACCATTTACACACCTGCAGGCTGCACACCTACCATTTACACACCTGCAGGCTGCACACCTACCATTTACACACCTGCAGGCTGCACACCTGCCATTTACACACACCTGCAGCCTCGCAGCTGACTATACCAGAAGCTTTCCTCGAAAAGTGATTCGCTCGGTTTGAAAATTGCTTCACCTGCGTATAGAAATTATCATAATTAACGTAACCAAACTACCTTATCTTCACTAGGCCTATGTACCAGACCATAATATATATATATATATATATATATATATAATATATATATATATATATATATATATATATATATATATATATATATATTATATATATATATGAATTGATTTGATAGATAATGTCATTATTACACTCTATTACAAATATCAAATTCCCTTGGAGATGCTTGCTGGTTGGCGCACTTGGCAGGAGATGCAGTTGAGAGTAGAAAAGGCTATGGTTAAGCTATGCTAAGCCAGGCTAGGTAGGAATTGATTGCTACCTAGCAATCCACCAGGCCATTCTCAAGTCACATCGACTTGAGAATGGTCCAGGACGGACCGAAACATCGTCGTCCCTTCACTTTCTTATGTGTGGTTTGGTCAACAGTAACTTGATTCGTTAGACAGTAACTTGTTGAACCAGTGGTTTTATGTTTACGGTAATTCAGTCTTCGAGAAGGCGGAATGACTCAGGCCAGACAGTAACTCATCATACCTTGACCAGACGATGAGTCAAGTGTTGACTTGAGTCACTGGATTGCTTACAACGCAGGCGTAGGAGTTATCGATTCTCCCCCGATAACTCCTAACTCTTGGTAAATCGATAACGATTAAATCGTTATCGATTTACCAAGAGCCATTGCTAGACGCTACAATCAGCACTGGTAAGTGACTAGACCCTGTCTACGCCAGAACCAATTTCCTGTTCGGAGCTTAAAACAGGAAAATTGGGTACAAATCGCCGTCCCCTCCCTCTCTCTCCACTCTAGTCTGTCATGTCACCTTGTAATTGGTGACCAAGGTCAGCCAATCTATCTCTCGACAAAGAGCTTAAGGATGACCTCCTAGCCTCACTTAAGGATGACCTAGCCTCACTTAAGGATGACCTCCTAGCCTCACTTAAGGATGACCTCCTAGCCTCACTTAAGGATGACCTAGCCTTAAGGATGACCTCACATAATATAGAGGCATAGATACTTTCTGTACTATCTATACTTTCCAGTATAAATTATCTGTTATAATTTGTTTCCTCTGCCCTTAACTCTATTCCATTTATTGGTCTTGCTTCTTTATTTATAAATAAGGAATTAGTCCCTTCTTTGTCTTTATTTTTAATGAGGGAGTTCGTCTTCCTCGTGTTAATAAAAAAATAATGTTTTCTTCTGCCATTAGAACTGTTTAATTAATTAATGTTCCTCTTTTATGGTAACTCAGGGTATTGTAACTCCAGTCTATATAAGAGGTTTGTCGTCTATATTGTTTCTCAAGGTTAAATCTGCCCTCCTTTTATGATGATTCTCTCTATCAAAACAATCATCATGTCTTGATGATTGTCTATGATGATTTTTAAGACGATTGTCTTCCTTTCTCATAATATTAAGAGGTTTGTTTCCTCCTTATGAACGAGGAGGTTAAGACAAATGAGAGAGGGACCTTCGACAAGCCGCCGGCTTCCTGTCCTCGTCGAGGCCACTAGGGTTAATGACCCTCAAGGGGTTTCCAAAGGGTTACCTGAATTGGGTTCTGTCTCTTGAGAGTTAAGCTCTCACTACTTGTGAGGTTGTAAAACTCTTTTTTATAAGCAGACGAGGAGTCACAATAACGTGGCTGAAATATGTTGACCAGACCACACACTAGAAGGTGAAGGGACGACGGCGTTGCGGTCCGTCCTGGACCATTCACACAACCGACTTGAGAATGGTCCAGGACGGACCGAAACGTCGTCGTCCCTTCACCTTCTAGTGTGTGGTCTGGTCAACACTCTTTTTTTTATAAAATTCACTGTTTTCTCCTATTTATAAATATACGTTGAAACGTTGCAGCTTTGTATGGTTCCTGTACTGTTTATACAACAAATGGTTAAAGTTTTTGTACTGTTTAAACCACTTGGATATGACCACTACAATTAGGCTCTTACCACTTACCTCTTTTAGGTAAGTAATTAATTTACCTTAAGCCCTATACTCCCTACCTTATCCTTCCTACCTCCTTTCCTCATCTAGGCCTACCCTTCGAGTATACTACAATCCCGAACATAATTCAGGATAGCAGTATACTCCTTGTATATGGCAGTATACTTCTCAGGCGAATACGCCTCTGTGTATAAGCATGAAATAAGTTAAGTGTTTAACGTGTTGAAAATCTAACACAGTACTGCCTCTTCCCTGAAACTAAATTAGACAAGATGAATGGGGTAGTTACCCCTCTTCTTGAGACGGGAGGACGTGCGTTACAATAGGGTGTGACCTAAGAGGTGACCAATGGGGGGGCGGGTCACGTCTGGGGGGTCATGACCCCCCCTCTCTAACCACCACCATCTAAGAGGTCACGACCCCTTCTCTCTCTCTCTCTCTCTCTCCTTCTTGATGTGACCCGCCCATCCAAAAGGGGTAGTTAAAAGGGGGGATCCCTTTATTAATCGCTCAGTTTCTCATTTCCATCTTCCTCTCTTCTCTTTCTTCTGTATCCTCCTTTCCTGGGCTTAGGTTCCAGTAAGTACAATGTTGCTATTGTTATTCTTCATATACTTATGGATATACCCGCTGCGATGGTTAAACTATCCTCTGTTCATGCCTACCCACGCACCCCAAATCCATCTGCCCATCCGTACATGCTGTCATGTTTACATTTACTACACATGTATCATCACGTATCCATGTTAATGCCGTCATGGAGACATATTCATGTTATAGTATATACATCTTCATGCCATCTACACGTACCAGCATGTATCCACACGCCCATCTTGTATACATATACTTATTTCTATGTATCCACGTCTGGTTATGTATACACACGCTAACAATCATTTTCTCCATCTATTAGTGATAATAGTTTTCTCTGTAACGATCAAAAACGACTTCGTCAGCCGGTGTACGACACAATAGTTACGTCATATGTACGTCACATATACGCCACATGTACGTCACATGTGCGTCACATGTAAGCCACTCTGTACACAGGACTGCACTGATACAAGTCTCCCGTAGCGCTGAACACGCTTAAGGATGTACATGTGATTGTGACATATTCCAGGTTACACCTGGTATTCAGTCTTGTCTTCTGGTGCATACCTGACTTCTCCTCCTCCTCCGTTTCGCCCAACCTGTGCACACACATGTGGCCCACACACACACATATATATATATACACATGTGTACGTGGAAATCTTTGCAAGCGGAGCATCGAGGCCTGCTGGAACCTTTGGAACACTGTAATGTGATTCATCTTGAAGCCTCATCACTCTATTCATCACCTACCTCACTGTATTCATCACCTACCTCACTGTACTCACCACCCACTACACTGCACTCATCAACTATCACTCCACTCATCGCCCAAACACACAACTCATCACCCCAACACACTACAATCATCCACAACTCATGCCTCATCTCACCGCACGTTACTCATCTTCCATCCACACTCAGCATGAGTCTTACTAGAAACAGCTTGTACATTTTTGCTATGTTTGCTCCTAGAGAATGAGACCAGAGAAGCGAGGTAGTGAAATGGTCCGTTTAAGGTCACTATTTGGCCGTAGTGCACCTTGTATAGACTCATCAGGCTCGATGAGTGTTCACGAAACTCATCAAGTTTGATGAGACACTTGCGAAACCTCTATATCTTTCCTGAATCATGTGGGCTTGGTTAATGTTGATTTAACAATCAGTTAGGGTTTTGGGGGATTACGTTGAACTCCGGTGATTGTAAAGTGTTTAATTTTTAACCAAGCCGGTGTGATTGAGGAAAGATGTACTGCTTTCGTAAGTAGTTGGGGGTATAAATGCCTGATGAATGCTGGTTTGGACATGATCAACCAGGTTATTATGACGTTTTTTCTCTGCATAGAATGAGCTATACTTTGCTACTGTCCAGTCAAAAGCTAGAATAGCTCTTAATCATTTTTTTTTTTATATTTTGTATGGTAAAGCTTCGTAGCTTAGTTGATTCATTTTGTTGCTGACTCATTTGCTTGCAACAGAGTTTGATATTTGCGATCCATAATTGAGATAACTAAACATGGTAATGTTTGATAGCGTAGCTGTTGTTGATATTTGGCTATCCTGATACGAGCCACAAGGTGCTATGTTAATAGTCTATTGCATTGTTCATAGCGCTCCGCCCCGCCCCTACCTTCCTTTCCCCCTTTTGCAACTGATCACTTGTTTAATGCAATGGCTTCTCACTAGCACCCGTGGTCTGCAAGGTGCGTAAACCACGCCAAGCGCATTGCACTCTGCACTCCTGTATTGTCCCCCCCCCCTGTCACCTGTCTATCATACTGTCCCTTCACCTTGTTCCTTCATTCGGGTCCTTCTCCTTGCCCCCATCACACTGACTCGACACCTTGCCCTTCACTGACTTCTCATTGTGCCTCATTGTACGTCACTGTGTAAGTTACATCCTCTTGTTACCTTATAGGGTGACGCTCTTCCCCCACCCTTACCCTTCCCCACCACCAAACTTCCCTACACCACCACTACACTTCCCTACACCACCACCACCCTTCCCTACACCACCACTATCAAAGACAGCTCCCTGTAATAAGACTCCATCCTCCAGAATAATTATATAAGACTTAGAAAGGTCAATTACGATATGGATGTTGTTTTAATATTGTCTACGGTGAGGTGAGGTCCGCACGTCTTTTTCATTATAAAGGACACCTCATTTAGTTTAGAATTATATCTGACTAAATAGTCATTTTTTCCCCGATATTGAAATTATGATAGTCTATGTTAAACCATTTTATTTCCCCGTTTTCTTACTTATTCTGTATTTTCTACTGCTAATTAATTATGTAATATTGCTTTACAGTCAGATTTTTGTCCTTCATTCTATTCACAGTCTGATTGATCCATTTATTGCTCTTTTGTCTGTAAGTGTTGTTCTATGTTCTGTAACTGTTCATTGTATGTTATGCGTTGTTTCCGAAGTTTTCCTGCTCATAAATAAAGAATATATATATATATATATATATATATATATATATATATATATATATAATTATATATATATATATATATATATATATATATATATATATAAAGTAAAAAGTCTGTATATTTTCCAATTCTTTCAGAAATCAATATGATCGTGGCTGTGTGTGTGAGATTGCTTCATCCGGGGCGCACAAACACTATCCCATTTTCTATGCATAGTTTCATCCCCCACTTCGTTATAAGTAATCCACTTGCCACAGGTCTAAATGAACCAGCGTCTCCATCATCTCGAGTTCTCCTTCTCCACTTTCTCATTTTTGCTCTTCCTCCTTCTGGGATACTGTTAACTTTTGTGAGGCTCTAGTTCTTCGTCCTCTGGGTTTCGAATGAGTGTGGAGCATCAGTTTAGGATCATTTTGATCCATTTTGACCCATTTTGACCCATTTTGTCCCATTTTGACCCATTTTGACTCATTTTGACTCATTTAGTCCCATTTTTGTCCCATTTTGACCCTTTGTTAATCTTAATCTTACCAGGATTCTATGCCCTGGTACACATAAAGGAATAGCATTATATCCTGTTAATCAACTAATCAGCCATATAACGAGGTTATGGGTTAATCAGACTCTGTAAAGAGTTCTCTCTCTCTCTCTCTCTCTCTCTCTCTCTCTCTCTCTCTCTCTCTCTCTCTCTCTCTCTCTCTCTCTCTCTCTCTCTCTCTCTCTCTCTCTCTCTCTCTCTCTCTCTCTCTCTCTCTGATTTCTCTAACATGTAATCTTGGTTTAAAATTCCATATCTCTCTTCATCCTGTGTGGGTGTAGTCACCTAGTTGCGTTTGTGGGGGTTGAGCTCTGGCTCTTTGATCCTGCCTCTTAATTGTCAATCAACTGGCGTACAGATTCCTGAACCTTTTGGGTTCTATTGGGTGTGAATGTTTATGCGTGATAGTGTATCTATGTACTCCCTTAACTGTGCTTCCTGGGATGGAACATAAGCTCTTGGTTCCCGCCTCTCATTCGTCTGTAGACACGTTCTGGTACCTCTTGGATTCTGTCGTATGTCTATTTTTTTTTTAAGAGATGTATGGAGTCTTCCTCCACTTCACTAATTATTTTTACGTGTTCATAACTCTATTACTCAGCCACTTACGAAGTTCTTTCTAACTTCCCTCTATGTCCTAGATACAAGTTCTACCTGTATCTTCCGTGCTAAATTTTCTACCTGTGTCTACCTTGTTTATTCTCTTAGTTTCTTGTAAGTATACATATATATATATATATATATATATATATATATATATATATATATATATATATATATATATATATATATATTATATATATATATATATATATATATATATATATATATATATATATATATATATATATATATATAAGCCTATACTTGCATAAACCACAAGTGAAGATAAACAATCTTTGGACAACACCCACCAGTGGGACTCGAACCCAGAAAGCACAACTACCTTCCAGTAGCTGGCATAACTAGTATGCTTTAACCCACTACGCCATCAGACCTTACAAAAGAAGTAGATAGTTCGAGATATAAATATATCTCGAACTATCTACTTCTTTTGTAAGGTCTGATGGCGTAGTGGGTTAAAGCATACTAGTTATGCCAGCTACTGGAAGGTAGTTGTGCTTTCTGGGTTCGAGTCCCACTGGTGGGTTGTCCAAAGATTGTGTATCTTCACTTGTGGTTTATGCAAGTATAGGCTTATAAGCTGGACACGAGTTCTCTCACATTGACAGTGGCTTGACGAAAATTGCAGACTGACCCCTCACTCATCTGGTGCCTTCGGGAGGTAGAGATGTTTGAGATATATATATCTCGAACTATCTACTTCTTTTGTAAGGTCTGATGGCGTAGTGGGTTAAAGCATACTAGTTATGCCAGCTACTGGAAGGTAGTTGTGCTTTCTGGGTTCGAGTCCCACTGGTGGGTGTTGTCCAAAGATTGTATATATATATATATATATATATATATATATATATATATATTATATATATATATACTATATATATATATATATGAATACAGTAACTTGTTCCTGGTGTGTGTGGTACATAGGGGACCTCAACCGGTTACAGAATTAGGAGACTAGCATGTTACAGTCGTAAAAGAATGAAAACACCACCCACTTGTGTATTGCTGTATCAGATATTTCAGTCTTACCTTTAATTCCGTATCATAAGTTAGTTATTAATACTCTAGCCTTTTTCCTACTAGAACACTGCTAGAACTGGCATTTCTAGTACAACTCTGAACTTTCTATTGGAAATGAGTAACATGAGAGAATACTGTATTGCTTGTTAGTATCTTCGGGTGGTTACCTGTGTTAATTAAGGGTGGCTTCTAAGGTTATGTCCTTCATACAGTACCCATATCGTAATTGATCTGTTATTACATTCATTGTTATTACAACTTTCAATGTAATTCCATCTAGCAAATTTCTGTTCTCATTCCTCTCCAAAAGAAATTACCTGCCCCTAAATCCTTCCACTTTTATATATATATATATATATATATATATATATATATATATATATATATATATATATATATATATTATATATATATATAATGTCGTACCTAGTAGCCAGAATGCACTTCTCGACCTACTATGCAAGGCCCGATTTGCCTAATAAGCCAAGTTTTCCTGAATTAATATATTTCTCTAATTTTTTTCTTATGAAATGATAAAGCTACCCATTTCATTATGTATGAGGTCAATTTTTTTTAATTGGAGTTAAAATTAACGTAGATATATGACCGAACCTAACCAACCCCCTACCTAACCTAACCTAACCTATCTTTATAGGTTAGGTTAGGTTAGGTGGCCGAAAAAGTTAGGTTAGGTAGGTTAGGTAGGTTAGGTAGTCGAAAAACAATTAATTCATGAAAACTTGGCTTATTAGGCAAATCGGGCCTTGCATAGTAGGCTGAGAAGGGCGTTCTGGCTACTAGATACGACATACATATATATATATATATATATATATATATATATATATATATATATATATATATATATATAGTATATATATATATATAATATATATAAGATATATATATATATATATATATATATTATATATATATAATATATATTGTCTCACAATAGTCCTGTAATTAAATTATGTAATTTATATTTTGTTTGAAAATTTGCTAATTCTCATTTAAGTCACTTAAACCAGATTAATCTTGAAGTGTTTTTATTTATAAAGTAGTTATGATCCTTGATGATATCACCAACTTACTGCTGTGTCCTGAGAGGCATCTTATATCTGTAGTAATTCTTTCATTTCTGTTAAGTTATCTTCGTTTCTCTTAAGTAGTCCCGTGGAGGATGCTTTCTACTCGTCTTGCTTAGGTCTTTAGAGTGACCTTTGACCTTTAACCTCGCCAATACGACCCCCAAGCTATTTTGATCCAGTCATGACAAACCACTAGTAACCTCTAGCTAACATTAATTAGCTACACTCCTTCATCAGGACCTGTTAGTATAACCTCTCCTGACCAATACCTAACATAACCCCTTTCATAACCCCTTAACATAACCCCTTAACAATAACCCCTTTCACTAACCCCTTTAATACCATTACCATTATCCCCCCACCACCATCAACAACCCACCACCACCCCCATCAACCCCCCACATATCCACCCCTCCTCCCTCCCTCTACCAAGAACCTCTTCACTATCTAGTACTGACCCACACACACTCTGCGACCTGCTTCGCACCCCTACAGAAGATGCACGTGTATAAGAAGACCCTACAGGCGCTGATCTACCCGATCTCCTCCACAACGCCTCACAACTTCCTCATGTGGACGGCCACCTCACCCACCTACTGCTACGAGTGTGAGGGCCTACTGTGGGGCATCGCTCGCCAGGGTGTCCGCTGCGTCGAGTGTGGAGTCAAGTGCCACGAGAAATGCAAGGACCTCCTCAACGCTGACTGCTTGCAGAGTAAGATGTTCCTGTTTTTGTTTTGGGTGTGTGGGGGGGGGGTGGGGGGGGGTGTGGGTACTCACCTAATTGTACTCACCTAATTGTGCTTGCGGGGGTTGAGCTTTGGCTCTTTGGTCCCGCCTCTCAACTGTCAATCAACTGGTGTACAGATTCCTGAGCCTACTGGGCTCTATCATACCTACATTTGAAACTGTGTATGGAGTCAGCCTCCACCACATCACTTCCTAGTGCATTCCATTTATTAACTACTCTGACACTGAAAAAATTCTTTCTAACGTCTCTGTGGCTCATCTGGGTACTAAGTTTCCACCTGTGTCCCCTTGTTCGTGTCCCACCCGTGCTGAAGAGTTTGTCTTTGTCCACCCTGTCAATTCCCCTGAGAATTTTGTAGGTGGTTATCATGTCTCCCCTTACTCTTCTGTTTTCCAGGATGTGAGGTTCAGCTCCTTTAGCCTTTCCTCGTAGCTCAATCCTCTCAGTTCTGGGACGAGCCTGGTGGCATACCGCTGAATCTTCTCTAACTTTGTCTTGTGTTTAACTAGGTATGGACTCCAGGCTGGAGCTGCATACTCCAGGATTGGTCTTACATAAGTGGTATACAGGGTTCTGAAAGATTCCTTACACAAGTTTCTGAAGGCAGTTCTTATGTTGGCCAGTCTAGCATATGCCGCTGATGATATTCTTTTGATGTGGGCCTCTGGGGACAGGTTCGGTGTGATATCAACCCCCAGATCCTTCTCTCTATTTGATTCTTGCAGGATTTCCCCTCCCAGATGATACCTTGTGTTCAGCCTCCTGCTCCCTTCGCCTAATTTCATCACCTTACACTTTCCAGAGTTGAACTTCAGCAGCCATTTTCTAGACCATTCCTCCAGTTTATCCAGGTCATCCTGTAGTCTCTGTCTATCTTCATCCGTCTTTATTCTTCTCATAATTTTTGCATCATCAGCAAACATCGAGAGGAATGAGTCTATACCCTCTGGAAGATCGTTCACATATATTAGAAACAGGATGGGTCCAAGTACTGAGCCCTGTGGGACTCCGCTGGTGACATCTCGCCACTCCGATGTCTTCCCCCTCACCGTTACTCGCTGTTTCCTGTTGCTTAAGTACTCCCTTATCCACTGGAGCACCTTCCCTTTTACTCCTGCCTGTTGCTCCAACTTTTTTTAACAGCCTTTTATGGGGTACTGTGTCGAAGGCTTTTTGGCAATCCAGGAAAATGCAGTCGGCCCACCCTTCTCTTTCCTGCCTAATTTTCGTTGCCTGGTCATAAAATTCTATTAACCCTGTGAGGCACGATTTACCATCTCTGAACCCATGTTGGTGGTGCGTTACAAAGTTATTTCCCTCCAGATGCTCTACGAGGACCTGGGTGTGTGTGTGTGGGTGTGTGGGTGTGCGTGTGTGTGTGTGTATGTGGGTGTGCGTGTGTGTGTGTGTGTGGGTGGGTGTGTGTGTGTGTGTGGGTGGGTGGGTGTGTGTGTGTGTGTGTGTGTGTGTGTGTGTGTGTGTGTGTGTGTGTGTGTGTGTGTGTGTGTGTGTGTGTGTGTGTGTACTCACCTAGTTGTACTCACCTAGTTGTGCTTGCGGGGGTTGAGCTCTGGCTCTTTGGTCCCGCCTCTCAACTGTCAATCAACAGGTGTACAGGTTCCTGAGCCTACTGGGCTCTATCATATCTGCACTTGAAACTGTGTATGGAGTCAGCCTCCACCACATGTGTGTGTGTGTGTGGGTGTGTGTGTGTGGGGGGGGAGGAGGGTGTAGTCTTGTCCCTGTTGTTGGCGTTTTTTTTGAGGAAGTTTATTGGATTTGTTTTGCGTTCTTGAATTCATCTTGAGGGTAAAGGACTGTTTGGGTGCCCCCTCTCTTCTTCTTCTTCATTCTTTCACTAACAATAATACTTTTTTTCTTTTTGCCCCGAATGGGAGTAAAGGTTATGACTCATACTGGAGTTCCTGTATTGCTCACTTTTCCTGGTGGTCCCTTTTTCCTTGGCTTTATTCCCTTTTCCCTCTTCTCTTTCCTAATTTTTTTTTTTTGTAATCTATTCTCAATCTTCTACCACCTGCCATATTGCCTTTTCTTCTATTCTGTCTTGTCTTCACTTATTTTTCAATCCTCTAAATATTTACCCCATTTCCATCAAACTTTCTTTTCTTGGCTTTCCATTTTTTTGGGGCCTTTGTAGTTTCTGTTCTATAATCGTGTCTTTCCCTCTCCTTTGCTTTCTCCCCTCTCCTCCTCTCCCTCCTCCCTACCTCGTGCAGGTGACGGAAGGCAGGTGAAGGTGAAGGGGCTGCTTGCCCCTCCCTGACCAAAGGTCGTGAGGGAGGATGGTCTTGTAAGATGGTCCTGAGTGACCTTAGACCCATCACATCTTCCTCCTAAGTGTGTGAGGGACGAATGTCTCTCCTTCTCCTTTTATGTCCTCCTCCTCCTCCTTCTTCTGTCTTTATTTTTTCTTTCTACCACCTGTGTAGACGTTGGTTCCTTCCTTTCTTTGTCCTTTCTTACGTTTTCTTCTCCTGCCAGAGAAGGAGAGAGGTGCGTCACTCACACGCAACGTGGCTCTTGATGGAGAAATGTACCGAGGTTGCTAGGAATTGCACATCAATGACTGTTTTGCAACGGCATTAATTATTGTCGGCATTGAGGGGAACGGTTCGCCTAATGCCTGTACCTGGCGCCGTTCATTCAGGATGTCTGGCCCTCTGGCGGTGTGAAGTTTCATCAATTACGAAATATTACTCGAAATTATTATTATTTTTTTAATCCTATGGTTGAGACGTACAACATGTTGTTGGATAGTCGTTAGAGTCAATTGGTTGTCATTGTAGAATGGCCTGGAATTATTTTGATGTATCAACCATTTTAATAATGGCTGTAGTTAACGTTTATGTGAAGTTATATATATATTAGGCCAGTCCGAAACCCACCCAGACAATCTGAAACACATTTCTGGCCAATCTGTTTTCTAACAAAGAACGTCGCTTTTCGTTCGTATACGTTACATACGGCCAAAAATCGTCGTACTAGAAAATGGAAGCGGCTGGCGAAAGTGACGTACTGTCCCGTTTTCTGTTGTGGGTCCTCTGATAGGTTAGAAGACCACACTTTAAACATACCATTTTCTTGACGTTGGGAAGCATTAGCAAGACAGGCTGTTCTGGTAGGTAAATTCCTCCTCCTTTTGGGGGATAATCTCAAGTCATTTTCTTCAAGAAATGCCTTACGCCGTTTTCTTTAGTAATAGTTTTCTTTAGCTATTTTCCTTGTAACCGATGGCTTCTCTTCCTCACATATTTGAAGAAAACAGTTTTGTATAAGGTCAGTGAACTAGATAGTGATCTTTAATAAGGATAATAGTGGAAGTACTTAGGCTAAACAGTCTCCGTGGTGTAGTGGTAAGACACTCGCCTGGCGTTCCGCGAGCGCTATGTCATGGGTTCGTATCCTGGCCGGGGAGGATTTACTGGGCGCAATTCCTTAACTGTAGCCTCTGTTTAACGCAACAGTAAAATGTGTACTTGGATGAAAAAACGATTCTTCGCGGCAGGGGATCGTATTCCAGGGACCATAGGATTAAGGACTTGCCCGAAACGCTACGCGTACTAGTGGCTGTACAAGAATGTAACAACTCTTGTATATATCTCAAAAAAAAAATAAAAATAAACAAAAAAATGGTTGTTGAAGTGTCGTAAAGTCCATCTTCCTGTTTAAGTAATACTTACAGTAAATAAGTTACTTACTTACAGTAAGTAAGTTACTTACTTACTGTAAGTTTAAGTACTGTTACAGTAACGATGATTTAGATTTAGATTTAGAGGTTTTATTCAGGTAAAGGTCCATACATTGAGTTACTTACGTAATATTAGATTTAAAGATAGAGATAGTACATACAATACCTAAAGCCACTAGTACGCATAGCGTTTTGGGCAAGTGGTTAATTATGTCTAATTATGAGAACCATCGTTCATATTTTGACGTAAAACGCAATTAGAAAGTAGAAATCGGTACTATTGAATTTGGGCAAACAGGAAGAGTTTATTTGTTGTTGCAAAGAAAACGTAACCTGGCCTTCCTATAGGCCTAATACACGCTATCTGAGGCCTTATATGGTACATATATATGTGCAATTTTAGGCCTAGGAATATTCAAGTTTGGTTTTTTAGTTGTACTTTTTTTCAGACTATAAAGTGAATAGTACCAAATTTGACTATCTAATTGTCCATTATGTATATTTATGTATATTGGATGGTCCTCATAATTATAGAAAATGCTGTCTAACAGAAGGATGGGTTGAAATATCTTTACCAATCTTTGTACTTTGTGGCTGTGGAACATTTTTTACATTACTTTGTAAATACTTTGTAAATACATTTTTACTTTGTAAAATATAAAAATAATAAATGTGATCTATTCAGTAAAAAAAATGACAAGTTGCTGTATTCGTATGTATTTGTGTTAGTCACCACTACATGTATGATGTATTATGTGTAAATGTTGGGCTTTAGCTCTGTAACTCGGCTCAGCCTATCCGTAATCCAAACGATTATCAGCCTACATAATAGATGCGAAAATAAGCCTTGTTCATCTCAACGGAGTTTATTATTAATTAATCCGATTAGTCTTATAGTGAGATTTTGTTTTTTTTAATATCGTTTTCTTCTAATTATTGGTCAGCTGTGTTTTGTGTGTGTGTGTGTGTGTGTGTGTGTGTGTGTGTGTGTGTGTGTGTGTGTGTGTGTGTGTGTGTGTGTGTTTGTGTGTGTGTGTTTGTGTGTGTGTGTGTGTGTGGGTGTGTGTGTGTGTGTGTGTGTGTGTGTGTGTGTGTGTGTGTGTGTGTGTGTGTGTGTGTGTGTGTGTGTGTGTGTCTTTTGTGAAATATTTAAATAATGTTTATGATAATAATGAACGTGCTCCAGGTGTCTATAATATTCGAGAAAGTCTTTGGGAATCTTGGGTTTGTGTACTTAAGACTGGTCGGTAGAGTGACGGCCTTGCTTCTTGTCGGGTCGGCGTTCGCTGCCTATTGGTCCGTGTGTTTGGGGATTGTTTCATCAGTCTGTCTTATTGTCTCAGCTCTTAGTCTGCTCTCAGATCCCAGCTCTTAGTCTGCCCTCAGGTCCCAGCTCTCAGTCTCCCCTCGGGTCCCAGCTCTTAGTCTGCTCTCATGTCCCTGCTCTCAGTCTGCTCTCAGGTCCCAGCTCTCAGTCTGCCCTCAGGTCCCAGCTCTCAGTCTGTCCTCGGGTCCCAGCTCTCAGTCTGCCCTCAGGTCCCAGCTCTTAGTCTGCTCTCATGTCCCTGCTCTCAGTCTGCTCTCATGTCCCAGCTCTCAGTCTGCCCTCAGGTCCCAGCTCTCAGTCTGCCCTCAGGTCCCAGCTCTCAGTCCGCCCTCAGATCTCAGCTCTTAGTCTACTCGCATATACCTTCCAAGTGGTAAATAATAATAATGGCTTAGCGTTTTCCGCTGATAATTATCTAGCAAAAGAGCTAGGCTGTCCGTGCAGTCACCCATCCAGTGCTTGCCTTAACCTGACCGACTCCGTCCCAGCCCCACACATTCCCTGGCTCTGGGACCAGGAAGATGTGCAGGGAATGTGCAACTTCTTGTAGAATTAAAAATGGAAGACTATTACATTCCATTTTGAATATTATAACATGTTTCTACATACAGAATATTATTACAGCTTTCATCCTATATTTTAAAACTCCAGAATGCATTTATTTAAAAGAAATGAGACTTCTGTGACCAATTCTAGTTTGGGTAAGAGTCTAGAATGCCTTGTGAGAATAAAAGAAGATTATCTTTGCGAATCCGGATTCTCCGTGACAGCTCAAGAACGCTTATCTAGCGTGTTCGTCACAGCGCCGGGCGCGCCCGCGCTCTTCCTCTTGTGGGGGGCTGGTGGTGGTGTTATTGCTTCTGGTATTTATATATATATACAGTGACGAATGCGACAAATGCGACAAAACACTATATCCAAATAAAACATGATAGTATCCCCCTTTCCCCAAGCTGATACATCGTTTTCTGTGATGACGAAGGGTTGAAGACGGGGGACGGGTAATAAACGCCCGATGTCGGAGCAAATTTACTGTAAACGGCAACAATAAAGTTGGGTTTTTGTGCTGTTTGCGTGTCCTGTCTCTTTCTTGTTCATTGTTTGCGTGTCCTGTGTCTCGTTTGTTCATTGTTTGCGTGCACTGTGTCTCTCTTGTTCATTGTTCGCGTACCCTGTGTCTCTCTTGTACATTGTTTGCGTGCACTGTGCCTCTCTTGTTCATTGTTTGCGTGTCCTGTGTCTCGTTTGTTCATTGTTTGGGTGCCCTGTGTCTCGTTTGTTCCTTATTCAATTATATATATTGTTTGGTGTTAGCAAAACGGCATTTCCAGGTTTATATATATATATATATATATATATATATATATATATATATATATATATATATATATATATATGTCGTACCTAATAGCCAGAACGCACTTCTCAGCCTACTATTCAAGGCCCGATTTGCCTAATAAGCCAAGTTTTCATGAATTAAAGTTTTTTCGTCTACCTAACCTACCTAACCTAACCTAACCTAGCTTTTTTTGGCTACCTAACCTAGCCTTACCTATAAATATAGGTTAGGTTAGGGTAGGTAGGGTTGGTTAGGTTCGGTCATATATCTACGTTAATTTTAACTCCAATAAAAAAATTTACCTCATACATAGAGAAAAGGGTTGCTTTATCATTTCATAAGAAAAAATTATAGTAAATATATTAATTCAGGAAAACTTGGCTTATTAGGCAAATCGGGCCTTGAATAGTAGGCTGAGAAGTGAGTTCTGGCTACTAGGTACGACATATATATATATATATATATATATATATATATATATATATATATATATATATGCAAACAAGCCTGAATGGTCCCCAGGACTATATACAACTGAAAACTCACACCCCAGAAGTGACTCGAACCCATACTGCCAGGAGCAACGCAACTGGTCCCTGCGTTGGCGTCCCTGGTTTAAGGCGTCCCTGTACATACCAGTTGCGTTGCTCCTGGCAGTATGGGTTCGAGTCACTTCTGGGGTGTGAGTTTTCAGTTATATATATATATATATATATATATATATATATATATATATATATATATATATATATATATATATATATATATATACAAGGAAACCTATCATTTAACTACATTTTAAGCTTCATTGGAGAGATATCGAATTACTCTGGTGTTTAATTTTTAAATCACTGACGAAAGTGCTTAAATTACAGAAATATTGACAAGTTACCAACTGGTATTTTTTTTTTGGTATAATCAGACTAATTTAATACAAGTCATTCGTGAGTATTTAAAAGCTATTTTTATAATTAGAATATAATATTGCTGATGATTTTTGTAACTATTTTTGGCAAACAAATTTGAATCTAAAAAAAAAAAAAATAATAATTTTAAGCATAAAGCCTAATTTCTTCACTAGTTTCCTCCCGTTAAGATGAAAATTTTGCAGAAAATTACAGAGTATCTCACTATTTAACTCAACAGTGTTTCTATTTTTTTATAAATATTATTAGTATATAAAAAAATCACAAATATTTTTTTTTACTTAAATATTCAAAGAAATCGTATTTAATCTTTCCAAGGATACCAAACAAATAACTGTAGTCATCTTTATCTAATGTTTCAAAAGAATAAAGCCTATTACAGCCCACACACACTGACGGTCATACTGCCAAGGCCAAAATAAATATAATTTGAAAATATATTAAAAGACTTAAAAAGAGGCTGTTAATGTCCCCTTGTTAAGGTCTATATCACCCTCTAAGAGGGTCATTAAGACCCCCAGATGACCTTACTGACCAACCAGCAAGTATACTTTTGTCCTGAAAATGGTCCAGGACCTAAGTATATATATATATATAGATAGATAGATAGATAGATAGATAGATAGATAGATAGATAGATAGATAGATAGATAGATAGATATGTATGTATACTGTTGAGGTATATACACCGAGAAATAGGAGCCATCTCTCCATGTATGTATATATGTATTCCTGTATGTTTTGTGTGTGAGTGTAGCGTTTGGCTTGTTCCTTATTTTGTATGTTTTTATTTCCCCTCATTTAATGCATCGTGCTGCTTGTTTCCCATTTTCTCAAATTTAATGTATTTGTTTCCTATTTACCCCCATTTATCCCCAATTTCTTCCCCCACACCATTTAATGCATCGTGGTTTTTCTCTTCCAATTTTTCCGTCATTTATTATTTATCCCTCGAATGTTATTATTAAATCCTATTATTCATAATTTTTACTACATGTATGACCTGTTTTACGTCGTTTGCACCTCCTCCTGTTTACACTTATACATTATACATGTCTTTTTGTAAGCGTGTTTATTTTGTTTACCCTTTAGCACCATTTTCGCACACCTGTTTGTTTTGATATGCTATCTCTTTGTTATCTCTTCGGTATCCTCCCTTCTCCTCCTCCTCCTTCCTCGACCCCTGTGCCTGCTCTTCCCTGTGTTTACGTCTGTTGTGCCTGATGCTGACCCCAACAGCCGCCTACAACCTGGTCAAGTACCATCCGTGGGCCCCTAACGTGGAGATTGTCCACTTCGTGCTGGAACGTGAGTATTGGAGAACGTTTCTCTCACGGCTTGAGAATTGATCTCTCACTGGAGATAACTTCTTTGTTATACGTTCTCTCTCTCTCTCTCTCTCTCTCTCTCTCTCTCTCTCTCTCTCTCTCTCTCTCTCTCTCTCTCTCTCTCTCTCTCTCTCTCTCTCTCTCTCTCTCTCCCTCCCACAATGTTTCTAAAGCCTAGCCTCGCATGATCAAAATAAAAACTACAATATACTGGACACAAGGCTATTCAGATTCTGCTGTAGGCTGAAATTGCTTTTCGCACCTACGCTACTATGCAATGATTTGAGTTTGGATCCATTGCCTTGTAAGTCCTTGCAGCAAGCTCCAGTGTCTCACGTACGTGGAAGTCAAGACGCTTGATGCTGGAGCGTCCCAAGTAAGCAGCTGTTACTGTATATATATATATATATATATATATATATATATATATATATATATATATATATATATATATATATATATATATATATAAATATATATAAATATATGTATATATATAATATATATATAATATATATATATATATATATATATATATATATATATATAATATATATATATGTGTGTGTGTGATTTCCGGTGTAATTTATATTGCTTTATAAATATTTAAGGAGAATGGGATTGATTTTATTTACACTTGTGGTGAATTATACTCTTTTTTTTACATTTACTGTAAACTGTTCAAGTTTTTATAATTGTTAAAAATTTATCAATTTTTAGGTCACAAGGTCATCAATTTTTAGGTCAAATTTATCAATTTTTAGGTCAAAGTTATCAATTTTTAGGTCAAATTTATCAATTTTTAGGTCTAATTTATCAATTTTTAGGTCAAATTTATCAATTTTTAGGTCACAAGGTCATCAATTTTTAGGTCAAATTTATCAATTTTTAGGTCACAAGGTCATCAATTTTTAGGTCAAATTTATCAATTTTTAGGTCTAATTTAATTTTATCGTTAGATTATTTTTAACGCTTTGGACAAAAAAGCATATTTTACTGTTGGATTGAACGTCAGTTGACTTACATTTTACTGTTGGATTGAACGTCAGTTGACTTACATTTTACTGTTGGATTGAACGTCAGTTGACTTGCATTTTACTGTTGGATTGAACGTCAGTTGACTTGCATTTGAAATAATATTGATTTTTGTTCATACCATATGTGCTTACAGCGATGTTGGGTATGCATGTAGCTCACTAGATTAACGATGAGTGGTATTCATCATTCATCAACGCTAAAGCGATGAATGCTACTTAAGGGGAAACATATAGGCATAGATTTTTTTAGAGTTTGACTTTAAATGGCATTAATGCTACTTTCTTGTTCCAAGTGACCTTGATGGCTGGCCAAATGGGACTTTCCTATAAACATCAGGCGAAAAATGCTAGAGCAGTATGACTATAGAGGATTTTTAATGTACTTGAGTACACACTATGTTCTGGGATTGGAGAATAGAGATGTGGAACGATGCTCATCCACTTGAGCCATCGAGGATCGAACTCGGACACCCTGCAAAGAGCGAGGGCGTCGCTGTACCGCCCAATGATGCCTTCAGGAGCACTATTGACTTTGGAGCTGGTGTTCGTGACATCAATGATGTCAAATTGACGTCAGTGACATAAATTCAGCGATGTTAATTGCGTTCTTTTTGATGTCTTCGCTTATGAAAGTCCTCTTGAAGTCCTTAGAGCGCATGTATGCGTATATATATACAAAATGCGTGTATGTATACATATGTATAATTCTCCTCCGGCAGTATTGGACTAACGCAGGAAATCTATAGTCTTAACCACACGTTATTAAATCCGATTTCCATATTGGGTTACACTGGAGAATATGCATATTGGAACATGTTAAGGGATGAAGTGTTCACAGCTACATGCCCCTCACAGGTATATACACGTTATTCATTTCTACCTGAGAAAGTAAACTGCAAAAGTAAACCTCAGTCATTGGATGCTTTACTTAAGGTGTAGTTGGTTTGAGTATATCGGAGTTGAGGAGATGGGGGCTATGTTTAGGGGTCAAATTGTCATGTAAAATGAATGAGAATAGATTTTATCGTCTATTGGTTCACAAAATAGCTGGTTGTGTGGTGGTTCTGTCATCATTGGTGGTTGTGTGGTAGCTGTGTCATCATTGGTGGTTGTGTGGTAGCTCTACTACCACAGCTGGTTGTGTGGTAGTGAACGTACCAAGATTGATATCAGGAGAGGCGAGACCCAATACCACTTGCAAGTATGAACAGGAAATAGTGCCAAGCAAAGTTTTAAGATTATTGCCTCTTGGTAAGCAGAAATAGTGCCTGACTGAGACCAGGAAGTGTGCCAGGCTAAGATCAGGAACTGTGCCAAGCTGGGACCAGAAATTAGGAGATTTGGGCCGTGTGTGTAAGGTTATGTATAATGTCAGATGTGGAATAACATCCCAGATGTAGGTCAGAAGTAATGTCAGATGTTTGGCAGGAAATGAAGCCAGGTGTTTGAATGAAGCCAGGTCAAGCATTAGTACCATGCAAGGGGTTACAAAAACTACCAGATGTGTGTGTGTGAATTATATGCCAGGTGTGGACGCAGACGCTAGTATCAGGTGTGTAGGTGTGTGTACAGAGTACGCTACAATTTTCTTCGATGATTTTATTTCCATTACTTGAAAACAATTTCTGTAATCAAATTTTGGCAGTGTGTGTATTGTTAAATATTTTATTTGTTTCAATTTGTGTTACCTCTATAAAAGATAGAATATATCCGTGGTTAGAGGCCAGTTTCTTATGGTTAGCCTCGTACGGCTTTGCATGGTGACGTGGGAGTCTATGGGTAGTGTCATAGGTGGGTTCGGGTTCGACGCCATGCCCTCCTTTATGTAGAGTTGGTTCCGGTTGAGACAACTATCTGCGCCTGTAAAGTCAAATGTGGGTTGGTTTTCCCCAAGAGTTTCTCCAACAGATTGTCAGATGTTCTTCACACAAACACACACACAGGGGGTGGGGGGCGGTGGCAGAGTGGCCAGCACACTGGACACGTAATCCTATATATATATATATATATATATATATATATATATATATATATATATATATATATATATATTCTTGTAAAGCCACACACACAGAGCTATATACAGTTAGCACTGTTTAGGGACCCCCCCTAGGGACATTATTTATAATATTATAATATAATTTATATTATAATTTATAATATAAACATTATAATGTTTAGGGACATTAACAGCTCACCATTGTGGAAGACAATTTAGTTGTTTAATGCAAGTGGAAGCCTACAAAGTCTCAAGGTTTGGGTGACATAGCCAGCTACCTCCTTGTGTACTGTCCCTCTCCTCCCTGCTCGCTCGGGGCTCGACAAGATCAACACCTTCAAAGGCACTTAATCCTCCCAAGGATCAGCTCAGATTATCCTTGCTTCCCCGCCCGGCGCTTTGGTCCAACAGGAATTTGTTTTGTTTCAGCATTAGCTGTAATACAGTATGTTGTTGTGAGTACATTTTTGAGGGGGTTCAGAGTATTCTTTGTATATTTTGAGGTGTCAGTGTATATGTTTGAATGTATACTTTCGGGCTGCGTCAGTGTATTCTGCTTATATGGTAGTTGTCAGTATATTGTATGTATATTTTTAGATCATGTTAGTATGTTTTTAAGGTTTTTCGATCAGTTAATTCTTGATATTCTTTGAGGTCGTCCCGGTATATTTGGAGGGAGTTCCGGTATATTTGGAGGGAGTTCCGGTATATTTGGAGGGAGTTCCGGTATATTTGGAGGGAGTTCCGGTATATTTGGAGGGAGTTCCGGTATATTTGGAGGGAGTCCCTGTATATTTGGAGGGAGTCCCGGTGTATTTGGAGGGAGTCCCTGTATATTTGGAGGGAGTCCGTGAATATTTGGAGGGAGTCCCTGTATATTTGGAGGGAGTCCCTGAATATTTGGAGGGAGTCCCTGTATATTTGGAGGGAGTCCCTGAATATTTGGAGGGAGTCCCGGTATATTTGGAGGGAGTCCCTGTATATTTGGAGGGAGTCCCTGTATATTTGGAGGGAGTCCCGGTATATTTGGAGGGAGTCCCGGTATATTTGGAGGGAGTCCCGGTATATTTGGAGGGAGTCCCGGTATATTTGGAGGGAGTCCCGGTATATTTGGAGGGAATCCCGGTATATTTGGAGGTCGTATATCGTAATTGTAGCAATATTTTTGGTATACTATACTGCAATGGTTGACATTAGGCAGGGTTCGACTCCCAGCTTGACACTGATGAGTTTGTTAACAAATGTTAAATATAATTTGCAGGGGTTGAACTCTGGCTCTTTGGTCCCGCCTCTCAACTCTAAATCAACTGATATACAGATTCCTGAAATAACTATAAAAAAAACGGTTAAATCAATGTAAAATGGAACGGTTGCTGACGTTGGTAACAGTTCCGTTAACGGATAAACGGTTTTTTTTATGTTTACGTCGCCAGCCTTAAGTCTTACTAATTTACACGTGTGTTTATGAAGACTTTCCTGTTTGATATCTAGTTTGATTTCCGGGTTAGTAGTGAGTTTTGCTCTCTGGTCCAAGTGTCTTATGTTTCTGTCTGGTGCAAGTGTCTATGTTTCTGTCTGGTCCAAGTGTCTATGTTTCTGTCTGGTCCAAGTGTCTTATGTTTCTGTCTGGTCCAAGTGTCTATGTTTCTGTCTGGTCCAAGTGTCTATGTTTCTGTCTGGTGCAAGTGTCTATGTTTCTGTCTGGTGCAAGTGTCTATGTTTCTGTCTGGTCCAAGTGTCTATGTTTCTGTCTGGTGCAAGTGTCTATGTTTCTGTCTGGTCCAAGTGTCTTATGTTTCTGTCTGGTGCAAGTGTCTTATGTTTCTGTCTGGTGCAAGTGTCTATGTTTCTGTCTAGTCCAAGTGTCTATGTTTCTGTCTGGTCCAAGTGTCTATGTTTCTGTCTAGTCCAAGTGTCTATGTTTCTGTCTGGTCCAAGTGTCTA